AAAAATCTTATTTCAAACTCTTGTAACAAAAATTCTAATTTTGATCCAAATTTTAGAAGGAAAAAAAAATCCATGAGATTGAAAAAAAAAAAAAAGTAATACGCTGTATGAACTATGATGTTTATTTTCTAATCCAAACAGCCGCCTGTACAAAATTTGGAATCACAACCGATCAAAAAAGCAGTTTACATTTGCAGCGTCTCTCAAAGAGTTAATTGAAAAAGGTGAGCCTGAGCCTTGAATACCAAATCAATAGCTCCAACTATGAAGTTAAATAGGGGAGTTACCTTTTTCTTACGACCAAACAGATTAAATCCTCTTGCCTATTGTTAAAAGTCTTAAAATAAACCATCAGTGTTAACAAATTAGTTTGGAAAAAGCTTTCCTCAATTAGGATCCCCCCCCCCCACAACACCAAAACCAAAAAAATTGGAGAAAAGTTTTGACTGAAACCCTCAATTAGATACTTGTTGCTAATTCTATTTTATAGATGACAAAAAAATAATTTTTCAACATATGATTGAAACCAAACAATCTCAACTTTAACATCTAATAAACCAAACTTTTTACTGTGACAGCCGGGGAAAAACTTCAGCTAACAGAGCCGTCTCAGATTGTTCTAGAAGAAGACGGAACGGAAGTGACATCGGACGAGGTGTTGGCAGCATGCAGCGGAGCCGTCTTCCTCGTCCTCCAGCCGGGCGAGCGGTGGACACCGAGCATTTCGGTCAGCCCGTGGGATATCACAGGGAGGAGAACCAGTTACATAAATGGGGGGATTGTGGTGGGGATGAATGCCGGGAACGGGTTGCGGGAATCGGGTGGCAGTGTAAAGTACGGTGTCGTTAATGAAGGTTTCCAGTATGTCAATGTCACTGGGGAAGGTGTTGTTAATGAAGGCTTCCAGTACTCAAATGGGACAGGTGTTGTTAATGATGGTGATGAGACTTTAAAGGGTGGGGCTGAAAGGTTATGACAGGGGTCATGATTCACAATGCATATCAGGTTGTCACAATGCATATCAGGTTGTTACAAGGGGTATCAGATTTTTGCAATGCATATCAGGTTGTTGCAATGCGTATCAGGTTGTTACTTTACGTATCAGGTTGTTACAATGCATATCAGGATGTCACTATGCTTTCATGTTATTTACACTTTTTCTTGGTCTGTAACCATTTTTTAAAATAAATTCATGTCATTTAACATTTTTTTCTTCATAAAACTAAAAGTCACATATTTATTAGGACTGAACAAAGTTCTCCATAGCATCCTTAAACAATTTTGTGTATATTAACTGTACAGCTGTTCAGCTTTTATAAGATGTTTTATACATATTTATATTCTAACAATGTTGTAAACAATTTAGTGAAATTTTTACACTTTGCCTATGATTATGTCAATTATGTACTGATGATCTATGTGATAATGATAGCAATATTTCATATGCAACTACAAGTATTATGTACTGCTCTATGTGATAGCAACTTTAAGTATTAATTTACATTTTTTTGTCCCCAATTGAATAAATATTTTTTTAATCTGATTTTTCATTGCTTAATCTTATAACTTTGAAAACCCACAGGAAAAGCAACAAAAACCAATAATGTTCTAAGTTATCACTTTTTGTATTAAGATTTCCTTCACACTGTTGCCAGTGTTACAGAAATTATGCCTGGTTGTGGCTTTGTGGTTTTCGGTCCTGTGTTCAGAAAATGTAACATTCAGCATACCAGAGGTGTAAGCAGTTGAATGAAATTACTAACTAAAACATTTTTTAAAAAAATGACCATATGTGGATAATTAAGAGTGGATGGAAAAAAAACAAATAAAACAAAATGTCAACCCAGATTATATCGTTAAATAGCTGTCCCCCGTGATTACTCTTACTAGATGAATGTGCAGATGGACTGTTTTTATTCCCTCACCCACAAGTTAAAGCAGATGCTGTGGGAAAATTTTCAGTTGTGTATATAATCAAACCATGTATGGTGTTTTTTTTAATAAAACAAAATAAACCCCACATGTGAATGGGCAATGAGTTTTTAATAACTACATAAAAAATGTTAAGGACAACAGATAAATAGGACTTGAAATAGACAAGAACTGCAGACCAGACTGGAATTATGTTTGTGTAAGCATTTAATGCATCACAGAATGACACCAAAACTAGAGAACAAACAAAAAATGACACCAATGTATTGCTTTTGGCTGAACATAATCCATTACAGTCATTATGTGGACATATGGAGGTATTTAAATTATTATGCAACGGTGTATACAATAATGGCTGGATTAAAGTGAAAACAAGATAATAAGTACATCTGTGGAGATTCAAATCCCCCTTCACTGACATGTATGGCAAGTAGGTCACAACTATCAACATGGAAAACACAGAATATCAAAAGGCCAGGCTTGGCCCATTGTATTAATGGTCTGTATGATGTGAGACTATTTATTCACATACTGTCCCCTTGAAATCAGCTAGGTAAAAATTAAAAAAATAAGAGGGAAGATGAATAAACAGCCGTGGATAGAAATAGCAACTTAAAAAAAATGGGGAAACCGAAATAAATTAAAGTTTAGATAGTATTTGAAGACCAATAGTTAGGATACAATAGAAAATCCTGATTTCTGATCCTCCACCCTTAAAACTAAATTTAACCATAAACTTCAAGAAATGTGTTCATCATGTTAAACATGGGGTCAGAAATTGTTTTTGTTGTAAAGCTGCGTTAAAATCATCAGATAATTAAAGTATTGTGAAACTTCATGCTCCACAAAGGTGTCTAACTAGGGCTTCATCCCCACAAAGAGGTGTCTAACTAGGGCTTCATCCCAACAAAGGTGTCTAACTAGGGCTTCATTCTTACAAAGGTGTCTAACTAGGGCTTAATCCCCATAAAGAGGTGTCTAACTAAGGCTTCATCCCACAGAGGTGTCTAACTAGGGCTTCATCCCCACAAAGAGGTGTCTAACTAGGGCTTCATCCCAACAAAGGTGTCTAACTAGGGCTTCATCCCCACAAAGAGGTGTCTAACTAGGGCTTCATCCCAACAAAGGTGTCTAACTAGGGCTTCATTCTTACAGAGGTGTCTAACTAGGGTTTCATCCCCACAAAGAGGTGTCTAACTAGGGCTTCATCCCCATTAAAAGGTGTCTAATTAGGGCTTCATCCCCATTAGAGAAAGAATTTCTATACATGTACAAATGATATTAAATCCTGATTTCCAGTACCAGGAAGCAGCGATATTTTATGTCCTTTACTTAAGCTTGCTTAATCTATCGGGTTTGATATTAATCTGAAGTGTGACAGCGTTACAAAAAAATTGAGTTGACGTTTAATAGAAAGCTAAGCTGCACAGAGCCCACTGGAAGACAACACAATTTAGTTTTTAACTATAAAAAAACAAACAAACTAGGATTGATTGATTGATTGAACACTTTTATAGCACTTATATCTGTGCTATTTTGGCATTCTCACAACGCTCTGATGTTCTGAAATCTATTTAAAGAAAAAAAGTCTTTAAATGTTTCTTAAATGATTATTTTTATCATTTTCAATTTCCCTCAATAAAAGGAGGTCCCCCAAAATAGCCTTAATGCCAGAGATCTTAATTTAAGACCTGGAACTAATAAGGGGGTCTCAGATATTGCTTATAAAATTTTTATACAGTTGAGACCACACGATAGTACCCTGGTACTAAAAATAACATATAGATTTTGAAGTACCAGTAATTCTTTAAGTGGAGGCTGAGAATTTAATCATGAAAAGTCACTGAGAGTGGCCTAATTTACTGATATTTCTTAACTTACAGATTCAAATTTGACTGAAATGATTACTTTGAAATCAATATTCTAAAAGCATTGGGCCTCTAAAACAAGGCAAGTGATTATCAAAAATATCAAAAATCAATTCAGGCATTACACGCTTGAGCCGTCTATGCATGAAATAGTAATAGTATAACAAGGTATGATTCCAGCCTCAACATACCTTGTTATACTATTTCATTCAAATAGCTTGAATGCAGTCCTTCAATAGTTAGCCTTCTATCAGTAAGTTTTTGTTAAAGTGTTCGGATAAAGCTAACAGCTTCCCACGACAGTCAGCGGGAGGCTTTTGCTTATCCCAGGCCAGTTGGGAAAACTGTCAGGTTGCGCACTCGGGGTATTTAGCAAGGAGATGCAAAAATGTATCTACAAAAATGTATTTTAAAAAAAGAAAAGCCTCAATACAAAGACCACATTTAATTATGCATCAGCGATAAGCGAGCTACAAAACCGACTGCAACAGATCAAAAGGTAAAACTGACTAGAATATGGCAGACTGCGAAGATTCCAACTCTATAACTACAACAATAAAAATTAACGTGACTGTAGATTATGTTGGTATAATTAATGCTTTTTTTTTTTTAAATAAAAAAATACAAAAACACATCCTCATTACAAGATGAAAAATATACAGTGTTTAAAAATAATTGCTTACACACTGAAAACTGGTTATCAGTGTTGACCTCGAACTTATTGCCAGAGCTAAAAATAGAACGATCGGCCTAAACTGGCATCCGTGTGAAGGTGAGCTTCCATGCAAGAAAGAGGTCAGCTGCTTGCCTCACCGTCACAAAAGACAGACGGAGGGAGGTGTTCTCAGTGGTGGTTACCTTCAGTTTCATCTCAGTGACACATCCAATGGCAGCCAGCTTCACTTTCAAAGTCAAGACCCATTTATAAACTGGACATGGGGCAAGTACAGTGATCGGCATTTAAATATGTCAACAGGAACATATATCTATGCATCTGTGTAAATGTGTAAAGAAGCCCATGTGTAAGAATACTTATTGCTGGTTCAAAAAAATTGAACAATTCAGAGGAAGTTTCTTGGTGGTGTCCTGCAAACGTCTCTCATGATTCGTGTTACAAGTAAATGCCGAGTATTGCAAGCACAACGGCTGTGAGAATTCACACAGCAAATTTGAAACTGGTCTCAGTTCACATTCTTCAATGTTCGGCACTCGTCTAACTAGAGTGAAGTTTCACTAGGCATTGTTCTGGCTCCTCTCGTCTCTAAAGTGGTCAGCCTCTGCCTGAGGGCTGTTGTTTCCATTTCGTACTTATCACGCAAGTTTTTCAGCTGACCTTCCATCTTTTTGAGCCGCCCCTGGTATTTTTTCTTGGCCTTATCAAAAGCAGCTATGAGAGCAGAGTTGGCTCTCTTCAAGTCATTGACGAACTCGGCAGACTGTTTGTGACGGCTCTCAGAATTTCTAGAGATTTTCTCAAGCGTGGACATGAGCTCTGAGACTCGGTTTTTCAAAGTGTGCTCACGCTCCATAGACACCGTCAGGTCTTGGATGAGCTCGCATGGCTCACGGGACTTGATTTCTGCCAGGAAACCAATCCCGGTTAGTCCCAGTGACTGGCTGCCCTGTTGTTGGTAGGACAGCTCACCTTTGAGGTAATCTATCTGAACTCTGAAAGCCTGCTCCTGGGTCTCCTTACCGCTGAGTCGGAGTTCGAGGGCGCGCTTTTCTTTCTCCAGGAGATAGCTGCGAGCTTTCAGCTCAGCCTGTCAGATGAAAATATTGCTTTGATCAGCTTGACATTTAAATAAAAGATTTACAATAGATTTTAAAACTACTACAGAATCCCTGCAAAATATATACAATACAATTATAAAATTTTGCCTCAGGTGAGAAGGCATACAAGTTATTCCACAAGACAGTGGCAGGCACTATCTGCCAAACACCAATCTTAAGTCATCCACCAACCAATAGCCCCTCCTCGACTCAAAGGCTCTAAGCTAATCAACAATCAAATGTCTAAAAATCACTCACCTAAAGCAGATCACTGAACAACAAACAAATCACTAACCTTTTCTTCCTTGACTGCCATCAGCTCCTGAACTAAGACAGCATTCTCTAGATCAAGTCTCTGGGCTTCTATCCGACGTCTGGGCTCATTGGTTACTGGGTCAACATGGACACTTTCTAGCTCTAGCACTGGATGAGAGATAAATGGGACATGTTTCTTTGAAGAAAAATACTGTAGTAAAATTAAAATTTTTGTTTAGAGAATTCATCCCACCCTCGGCATTAGCTCGATAAGGGTGAATTCTTACCCTTTAAGTTAGGACAAAAAGATAAATTCTTTTGTTCCCCAGTCTGTCAGAACTTACCAGCATGCTCCACCAGTGATTAAAAAATCAAAATGATCACTAATTAAGTCATTATTGTCAGATATAATATTATATAAAATGAGTTTGTAAAATCAACCAAACATTTGGAATCAACAATTCTGATAGTTTCAAGCAAACATGCCTACGGTTCAGGTTTAGATCTTACCTGTGGTCCTGACCGCCGCCCGTTCAGATTTGAGTTGTTGTATGTGGTCTCTGAGTCTGACCTCATCAGCTTTGCTGAAATCAATATCACCTGAACTGCTTGTACTGCTGGTGCTGGGATACATAAAACATACAAGAATGATCACATCATCTGTCTCATGGGGCACGATTAAATAAAATGACAGAGCCATTGGGGGGGGGGGGATAATTTTTAGTTAAACCAAAGGGTGGGGGGAGGGGGGGCGCACGACGACAAGATAACCCTTCTTGGGTAATATGATTTAATATTATAACTATCTACCTAGGGTGTCGGGATCTGACAGTTACCTTCTCTAGGGTGATAGGATCTGATTTAATTTTGAAATTGGCGTCCAAAAAAATCCTGTTAAAAATCCATTTAAAGCGGAGTGGCATTAAAGTTAGGGCTTACACAATTCAGTGCACAATGTCACTGGGATTTTTATATAGCATGAAGATAGGCGATGGTTTCGCAGTAGCATCTATCTGGTAGAGTTTGACTTTTGTTGGGGCTTGCCATGAGTATCTTTTCAGTGAAGGGTTAATGTTACCAGATTTACGCAGAGCAGCATCAAAGTCATCCCCTCAACATGAATTCCTCAATGAAATACTGGCATCCTACCTGGCTGTGCGACTGTTTGTGGACAAGTCCTCCCACGGGTGGCACGACCCCACCGTCATGTGATTATTGCGGTCCAGCCGTGTGAGCAGGTGCCTGGCAACGCCTTCAGCCCGCCTCCGAGCATGGTGTGCACGCTGCAGTATGGCAGTTATCTCCTCCTGGTCGTCATCTCCTTCCCCTGTCATGAGATTAGCATTATGAGTTTAAATACATTTCTACTCATCACAAATGATGGGCAAAACATTGAGGCAGGAAGAATAGTTGGGGGGAGAGGGGGGGGGGGGGGGGAAGGGGGGAAGAGGGCTATTACAAGAATTTTTATATATTAAAAAGATAAATCCCCATTTAAGATTGACAACACAGATAATTCATCTCCCCATTTTAATTTTAAATATTTGTATTTCTAGATACATCTTGCCTTCCTCGGTGTCCCTGGTTGATTAGTAATGAACTTCAAAATTCCCCTTTTACATTAAGTTACTCCTGGCTGTGAGTCCACATTCTCAGCCACTACAACTAGTCACAGTAACAGATGCCCAACACATTTACCTAGTCCTCCAAGACCGGCTGCCCGGCAGTTGGCTAAGAGCACTCCCATCTCGGTGTCCAGCAGAGCCGTGAGGACATCTTGGGCTTCCATGCAGTGGTCAGAGAAGACGGCTGCCAGCTGTAAGGCTGTGTTGTTTGACTCATATTTGCCGATGAGAACACTGAGACGTTCGGCGTGAGATTTGCTCTCTTCCAATGTGGCAGTGAGGACATCATTCTGTGCCTGCATGGGAACAAACAATGTACCAGAGGTCATATGTCTTGTGAAATGTTTGACCTGTAACCCCCCCCCCCCCACCCACCTTTAAAAACCTATTTGTACATTATCCATTCCATTAACCACCTCAAAAAATACCTTACGAAATCAGTTCTGCTAGTTCTATAATCCAGTAGTCTCTACCTTAGAAATGCCATGCCCTTATTTTAAAATCCACTTTTATCCATTTCCCAACTTTTTTAAATGTCCAGTCCGCTAGCATCCTCAATCCCAACAGCCTTAACCCCCTTGAGACAGAGCCTTTTTGGACTATCGGTGGCAAAAATATGGAGCTCTTTTGCAAAATAATTATTTAAAAATAAAGTAATTACTTTACAATTTTTAAACTATTTATATATATCGTATTGGAGGAAATTGAATGAGCTAATACAAACTTTATGAAACAAGCTGAAATCTCAACATTTATGCCAATGAGATATCCTGATTTGCATAATTTAATGCATGCACTTTTTAAAAAAAAATACTTAGAATAAACATGTTTAGCTGCACAAGTCACAAGTATCCTCAATTCCAGCTTTCCTTATTGTACAATCCTATAGTATCCTCGCTTAACTGTACAACGCACTAGTATCCTCAACCCCAACTCCCATAACCTGTACAAGCTGCTAGTATCCCTCATTCCAGCTTTCCTAATTTGTACAAGCCATTGCCATCGGATCCACAACTGTGTAATTCACTGCCCTAATGGTGACAGCTCCAATAACTGCCGCCTCAAGCCACCACACTCACTAACCCCCAAAACCATCACAAGTATTGACCCCATCAGTTATTAAGCTGCGTTCTGTTTAATTAAATGCCGCTTACCTTCAAATGGTCAATTTTAGCCTGCCGCCTCTCCAGCTCCACCTCAAACTCCTTGACCACCGCCTCCCCCAAATGGGCACCCCCGCCCCTGGAAACCGTCTTGATCAGCTCGGCCACACTGGATCCATCATTCAGCGACTGGACCAGGTGTTCGGCTGTCGGGGTACTTTGTACCTTTGAGGGGGTGATGGGAGGTAATGGGAATAATCAATCTCTTACAATTAAAAACAAATAAAAAAATTCATTAATAGTAATAAACAAAAACAAATTTTCTAAACATTTGGCATTACTTGATGCAAAAGTTACCCAGATTTAACCATTCAAACCTGAAATTTGCCAAGGTAGTAAAAGCAAATGTCCTGAATATCCAAGCAGTTACAATGTTAACCTAAATATGTTTTCAGAAACTAGCAGCCATTAAAAATATATACCGTTATAAATTTTTTCTTTAAAAGAATTAATAAAGAATATATTCATATTTTTTTGAAGCTCTTTGAGAATCTGATAGACTCACCCCTAGCATGGCGACCTCTGACCCCAAGACCTGCATGTCACTAGCACAGGTTTTCAGCTTTTTCAGCTCTGCCATCTTGGCCACTGGGTAGACTTCAGACTCTACACTCCTCCTGAAATATTATTAGGAAAAAACTACTGGTAGAGATTGCAGGAACCACAAACCGTTATACAAGGAAGGGCATTCCCACTCAATGTTAAATATTTTTATTCTATCATGGCCAACCTTGGACATTTGTGTTTTAGCAGTTTGACCACACTGGTAAAAGACAGTCTCATTTAATACCAGAAAGTGCCTGGGACTTCAAGCAGGATCATCAATGAACAATTTTTTGTTTTATTTTATTGTACATGTTACTTCATTTCCTCATATGTATTATATTTGTTGGGACAGTGGATGAATCATTGCGACAACCTGCCCAGCTAAAATGAAAAAATTTGATTTTACTGACCCCCCCAATTACTGCACCAGAGTCAGGTTTCATTGTACTTTTGAGATCATTTTTGTGTAAGGTATCAATTTGTTAAAAGTACATAATAATAGGCATTTAAGAAGTACAATTATTACTGGTGTTTATATCCCGGGTCGATTAGAGTGATTCTGAGAATTCTGTAGTAGTGGCTAACACTGTAGTAGTGGCAAACACTGATGTTGATATCTGACCCGGTAAAAGTCAAGCCCTACTTGGAAGAAATCAGTCGCCATGCATATGTAGAATTTTAAAAATGTTTAATTTTTTTTTTTCATTTAATGCTTGAGTGTAGAGATTTCTCAGTCCAAGTTAAACAGACCAGAGATTTTCATGAAATTACCTGTCAATATGTGGAGGAGGGGTGCTTGTATGTTTGGTGGGGGTGACAACTCGACTCTGACTTGGACTTGCAGCGCTGCTGTAACTCTGGATACGTTGCTGAAGTTCCAAAACCTAAAGGTAGAATAAAAAACATTGAAATCATGTTTGGAACTATGGGAAAAGGTGGGGCGGGGGGGGGGGGGGAAAAACCTAAAGGTAGAATAAAAAACATTGAAATCATGTTTGGAACTATGGGAAAAGGTGGGGCGGGGGGGGGGGGAAGAGCAGGGGGAGCAGTAGGGAGGAGGAGGGGAGATTAAAACAAGACGTGTAAATTTAAGGAAAAGATTTACAACTAGCAGTGGATGTACATGTACATACATGTGGAGCTAGGATTTAACAAGTACAGCCAGGTGTAAAAAAAAAAGCATAGATATGAGTGTATCAAGCAGACATGGGGTAGGAGCATACATATAGAGATAGGAGTATAAAGAGCAAGTAGAGGTGTGGACAGAAAAGTAGAGTTATTAGTAGACAAGTGAATGTGGGTAATCAAGTAGAGATGATTGGACATGAAGAGATGACTTGACAAGCACAGATGATTGAACATATGGAGATTATAGAGCAAGTAGAGATGATTGAACAAGTAGAGATGGCTGAAAGTGTAAAGATGATTAAACAAGTAGGGATAGGAACATGCAAGAAAACATTATAAAAGCAGAGGAGGAAGTATACACACCTTCTTCATGAGGTTCTCCTTCTCTTTCATCACTGTCCCCATCTGCTCCGACATCTGGCCCAGTTCCACCTCCAGGTTCGATGTCTGGCGACGCAGCTCTTCGTTGTCCGTTTTCAAGGCCATCATATCGGATCGCAACTGTGGGTCAAAAGTCATAGAGTTGCTGCTAGCCAGGGAGCTCGGCCTCAGAGCTCGAGGCGGGAGCTTTGGAGGGACCTCCTCATGGTCCTTGGGGCTTTCTTCTGTTGCCTGAAACATAAAACTTTCACAATAACGTTCCCACTGTAAGGGCCAGAAGGCTAGACTGTATACACATGAAAACAAACTTATCTCAGTTTCAACCCTAAGGCTTGGTTGATTATTTCCAAATGACTTAAGTCGTGCGCAGCAGTTGCCATGTATTTTAAAAATTAATTTAAGTGATATTTCCTACTGGAGAGAAAACTTCTGAGCCACTACTCTGACACTGGCCTTCCCTACTGCAATGTGACTAACATTAAATTACAGCAGTAGAAATGAAATGATAGCTTTAAAATCCAACTGAAGCAACCGACCTTCTTCTCCTCAATTCCTGGCTCCATAGTGAAACTTGTGGCCATCAGGACATCACTGCCTTGACCTGGCTGCTGGGGTTTTTTGGCCATGGCCGTCTCGATCTCAGACACCACACGGCTGAATTCTTGGCTGATTTCGTTGTTATCATCTGTATGAAGTTCAGTAAATATTTTTATATAGATATGAGTGAGCGACATTAAGTTTTGATATTTCTGCACTTTTCTGATGGAAGGTGAGAATGGGCAGGCAGGAAATAGCTAACATTGCAAGAAATCAGTCTCAATTGCTTCACAATAAACTAACATTGCAAGAGATCAGGCTTAATGGCTTCAAGATAAACTGGCTGAAATGTCAAGCATGAAATAGTTTCTTTAGTACTATAATGATCCTCTCTAGTTTTAAAGCCCAAGTGTGACTCATAAAACAGGATCCCTGGAAACAATATATCGCACCCTCACATACTATGATTACATATTTATTTATGTGACAAGGCATAACAGCCTTTCTATCAAACATTGAAAATTAGTTTGTCCCTACGAGTTGAAGCATGTTTTCACCTCTAATTACACTCCCTAGATAGCCCAAGCACTCCTCCAGATACATGGGCTAACCTTTAACACTCACTAAACAACCAAAGCACTCCTAAAAATACCTGGGCTTACATTTACCACTCCCTAATCAACCATAGCACACCTCAAAATACCTGGGCTTACCTTTAACACTCACTAACCAGCCAAAGCACTCCTCAAAATACCTGGGCTTACCTTTAACACTCACTAACCAGCCAAAGCACTCCTCAAAATACCTGGGCTTACCTTTAACACTCAATAACCAGCCAAAGCACTCCTCAAAATACCTGGGCTTACCTTTAACACTCACTAACCAGCCAAAGCACTCCTCAAAATACCTGGGCTTACCTTTAACATTCCCTAACCAGCCAAAGCACTCCTGAAAATACCTGGGCTTACCTTTAACAGTCACTAACCAGCCAAAGCACTCCTCAAAATACCTGGGCTTGACCTTTAACATTCCCTAACCGGCCAAAGCACTCAAGATATCTGGACCAACCGCTCCCCACATACCTGGACATAACTTTACATCACCCACTGCTCAGGACACCTGGACCTACCTTTAACACTCTCCCCATCATTGCTCTGTCCTTGGTCTGATTCCTCATACTCATCCTCTTCTCTGGAAGGCAAAACAACTTATTTGAATCAATTCAAACAGCCACATGAGCATTTAACATATATCATACAGGTGGTCTGCTAATGGTGGCTCTGGGGCTAAAAGTGGCTCTCTGAAGGAATAGATGTGGATTTTAATTTTTTTTATACCAATCTTTAATTGACATTTGACAAACCTGCTCATGCCTGCAGCCCCAAAATATATTTTCTTAGTAGAAATAATTGATAAATATGCCTCTTCCCTGAAAAAAAATTGCTTACCATTGATCTATGCAGACAGTCTATAATGTTATCTAATCTACAACTGTCAAAGTGACATTTTAAAAAAACACAAACATTATGACACTGATCTGATGCCACTCTCTAAAATGTCATCAAATTTCAAGACTGTCACAGTGACATTTACACTTCTTCTCCTGATGACATTGATCTAATTGTCTCTCTAATTTGTCATTATTTACAACAACTGTCATAGTGACGGCTAACACCTCACCTGGTGACATTGATCTAATCGCCTCTCTAATGTCATTAAATTGCAAAAACTGTCATAGTGATGGCTAACACTTCCTCACCTGATGACATTGATCTGATGCCTCTCCAATTTCTTCCTGAGCTCTGCAATGACACTGTGCAGCTCTATAATCCTCTCCTCGTACCTGGCTGTCAGCTGCTCAAGCCTGTCCTCAAAGTCTGATGGGCCCAGCTTGGCATCACTGGGGAGCTGCATGTGTGGCAAGGCATGGGGGAAAACAAGTATGTTGTAGTTTACAAGGTATGTAGGGAAACACAATAAGTATGTTGTAGCATTTCAAAATCTTTTGACGTGCTATGTGTTACACAAATATAAAAGTACACATAACTATCTTTCTATATATACCAACACTGTTAAGATATTATATAGTAATAAGTTATTGCATATAAAACAAACACATATTGTTAATGACATATTACATATAGAACATATAAATATATAACAAATACAAACATGTTTTTTCATATAAAAAATATGTTCACTAATGACATTATGTATATCACACACTTGACACACAATAAAATGTACCACATACAACACCATAACATATTACACAAAGCTCATACACATTTCATACATCATGCATACGAATTACATGTCACACACAAAATATCCAATTTAAAATGTATGGAAACCACATATAATATTTACATTACACAAAAATATCCATTTTAAAATGATAGAAAACGTACATATATTAGGCGATGTAGTTACATATATCTTACATATTAAACCTAGATACATGAGTCCAACATGATCACATCCACCCCCACCCCCCCCCCCCCCCCCCACCCTAANCATGTATAATGCATCAAAGTATATTAAGTCCATTTAATTTTAAGAAAACTTTCTGAGCCTTTAGATTTGTATTTATGATTGTGTTGTACAAGTGATATTTAGAATACTGGGTAGAGATTAGGCTAAGATTCGACCACCAGTAACTGGGGACTATGATGTTTACAGGAGTCACGTAATAAACTCCGCTGAAACGGCCAAGTAAATAATATACAAGTCACGCGAGAAGTCGAGTTCCATGAATGAAAAGATGTAGGAGCCGAGATGAGGAGAAATCCACGGGTATCTTATCACTGTGTGAGTACACGCGACATTCTGTGTTGTCTGGGCGCTTGTATCTCTCGTCTGGTCTGCTCAATGGGGGGTTAGAATGTTGAACACCTGTGCTCAACAGAGAGCCGTCTGCTCACATTTAAATAAAAAGTGGAAAGGGGGGGGGGGGTGGCTGGGAGGGGGGAGGGAGTAGCATTTCCGGCAGTCTCGCGTACATCTACGGTGGTTCTTGGAATGTTAGAGTTAAAGCACACGGCCACTTCTACAACTGCAGCGGTTCTTCGGGTGTTCAAATGCAGGGCCACGTGTACGATGGCGGTGGTTCTTTGAATGTTTAAGCAGAAGGCCACCGCGCGTCCAACAGCGGTTCTTCGTATGTTTACTCACATACGGTACAGAGGTATTTTTAAATAGTAACATACACAACTGGACACATTCAGTTGTCCTGATGACAATACAGTAGTCTAGTGTAGTACTATTCACACATTGCTTAGTAATGAAAAGGAAGCAACAGGAAAGGGTAGGAAAAATCGGGGAAAGTGTAGGTAAGAATTGGTGAAATGGAAGGGAATAAAGTGTGTCAAAAGAATACATGATAATGTATAGGCCTTGCTTTTTAGCCAATTTAGCGATTAACCCTTCATGAGAAGAGATTTTTTTTAAGGGTGGGGGGCGGTCTGTACCTCAAAATGAGAGGAGAAATGAAGAAAAAAATAATAAAAAGAAACTGATTGGACAAGAGAGCGGAAGTTAAAATATTCCATATGTTTGGCGGGAGAGAGTGGTGGTCGGGAGAGAGTGGTGGTGGCAAGAGAGGCTTTGAGAAATAAAAACAGGCTCAATTGGTGCATTGAAAAACTGTACATATCATACTGAAAGAGAAAGAGAGAGGGAGAGAGAGAGAGAAAGAAAGAGAGAGGGAGAAAGAGAGAGAAAGAGAGAGAGAGATCGCGTATTGAGATTTAATACAAGTACGTGAGTTGACAACTTAAACATAAAAAAAAAAATACTTATATTAAACAAACCCTAAATCCTTTGTATTCATTTTGTTTTACATTTCATTTTATATGAATACTCTAACGTCCCCACCCCCTTTTACTCGGTAGATTTATTTCACCAACTATTTCAGAAAAACAAAAGAAAACATTGCGCACCAAACGCACTTGCGATATTAAAAAAAAAAATATAAAAAATTAATCTCATTTAGCGCGGTTATCGGAAATTTGATTCCGTGGAATCAGTGGCATCATTATTAACTTAATCTTCCCCTAGAAAAACTGATTTTTAAGGGTTGTGGGTGGGACTGACAATGGGAAAGAATGAGTTAGCGACGAGTCTATGTGCCAAGTTTCAATGGTAATAAGAGGAGAGACTGCAATCAGGTTGGCCAAAAAAAATTTTAAAAATAATTTTTTAAATCTAATTCTGTTTTTTTATGTTGTTTGTTCGCTGACGAAGGCTTTCCACCGACACGTTCATTGTTTCGTTGCGTTCCTTTTTTTTTTTTCTTTTAGTTTTGACCATACTTCTTTTTTTTTTTTTTGACTCTTCGCCAAGCTTCAGCTCGATAGGTTGACGGGAAGCGGGCCAATTAGCCGTCCGAAGATTTTGCCACCCAACCAGAAACACACGAAAGAAAGCCGAGTTGATAATAATGGATTAAAAAAAAAAAAAAAAAAAAA